CTGGTGTATTTTTCAGAATGGAGGTTTTGTGGAAGGTTACAAGAGTCTTCAATTCTTCAGTTTGTGTCTTTGTCCCAATAATTTTACTTCCTGTAATCTGTCCAAAGAAGACATCTGTGCCTGAAGATGGGGGAGGTTTCTTCCTAACTCTTCCTGTATTCGCTGGTATTCTTAAGAAAAGTAGACCACTTAAGCCAATTGGGCCACATGTTAAAGTTGTCTTCTGCTTTATCTTCCTATGTCCTCTCCCCACCCCCAAGAGTAAAATAAACAAAGGAATCAATCCTTGATAAGTAATCTTGTGGTCTAGTACTCAGCACAGAAGACTTTGAGATTTCTTGCTGCTTGGGTAACCTCTGTGTGTTGGTAGTAATTTGAATTTGGACTTTGGGGAGGGTAGAGGTCCCAGTGTAAAGGCTAGTGTCTTGATCTAGTTTCCCAGTGAACCTTGCTTTGGGCTATTTCCAGCAGTGACCCAGACAAATGTGGTACTTTGTCTCTCCTCCCTACCTCTGCCCCCATTCCCTCAGACTCTCTGGGGTATGTGTAGGGCATTTTGTGTCTTCCTGGGTTTTTTAGCTTGCTGTTTCCCTCTCATGTCAGACATGCACGTAGACTATTTGGAGATCAACAGAGATAATGAAAGGGGCTGAGGTTACAGTCTATAAGTGAAATTCTTCAAGTTGCCAGCAACTGTCATTAAGGTAAGTGAAGATAACAGAAAATAATGTTTAGAGTATGAAAAATTGTGTGACTAGTCTATTTAATTTTGCAGTATGAAATGTATTTCTTAGGTGGTCACTGTCATATTTTGCAAGCTGTTTGTTTTAGCCAAATTCTAACTAATAAGGCTCCAGGCCTTTTATGTTGCATCATTCTTGAAGAGGAGGAAAAGATTTTTGAGGATGTTCACCCCTAATATACTGCAAATCTCCGACAACGAAACAGTATAAGGGGGCTGTGATAAATCATGACCTATCCTTTGAGTATCTTTGCTCAAGTTAGTATTCTTTTATCTTCAGAATTTTTAGAATTTGCAGTATAAATCCAGAAATAGCAGTATTTTTATTTCTTGTAGAGTCAGTGGAGCCTTAAGGAATAATTAATGTGCAGTAATGTGCTATAACAGAGAAGTCAGATTTGAGCTGCAGTTCTGTGGGCATCATGGGCAGCATACTTAACTTTATATCTGTTTATTTACTTTAAATGGGTCTGATTTTTTGTGACTATCCTGAGGTTGTTCTGAGTAGGTAATACAGTAGTGAATGGGAAAGGGAAATGCATGCCAAGTGGTCACTATTCCTTGGGCTGCCAATGCACAGAATTAATTCCAGGCTGTTGGGCTCATGTTATTGACCAGACTCTGTCTTTGTGCCCTAATTTCTCATTCAGTGCATATTTCACCTAATATTAGATACTTCTTTGGGAGATAGTAAAAACTTCTCTAGTTACTTCACAGGAATTTGAGAATTAAAATCAAAAGATAATGTGGAAAGCACTGCGTGGATTTGTGGTGATAGTAGTTCCATTAGTTATCAACAGGAAGCTGCATTGGAGTTGACTAATAACTGTGTGTCCCAATGACTAGAAGCAGCAGTTAATTCAAATGGAATAAATCTATATATTCAGTTATCAAAAAGGGTCAATTCTTTCTTGCCTTTGCAGTTATTCTTTTTGGCCTGGAATATTTGCCCTATCCCTACCCGTAATGTCTTCAAATCTAGGTTCTCTTTACTAACTAAAATGATGCTATTTTAGAATGGCCTTCTGACTAGCGCTCCCAGTTGATTAAAAAAAATTATTAGGGCCCTCCCTGATGGCGCAGCGGGTTTAAAGCACAGCACTAAGAAGCTTAAGCCACTTCTGCATGAGTTCGATCCCCGCCTGCCCTGGAGGAGATCCACTTGGTGTGGCAGACCTCTCCTGACCCGCCCGCTGCTCCCCTCAGCAGTGTACTTCGTCGATCTGCCTGTTCTGCATCCCGCTCTGTCTCTGGTGAATCCTCTCACCCTCTGCATCTCTGGCCTGTACCCCAGTTCTGTATGAATAAATAAATAAATCTTAAAAAAAAAGAATATTAACTCTAATATATATATATTACATATATATATATTACTTAGTTCTCAATTATGTTTTCTGTTTCTCCCTTCTCCTGCTGTCTAGTAAACCTTTGGATAGCAGAAACCTTGACTATCTTGTTTGTTTCCATTCTTGTACTTATTTCAGTGCCTGGCACAACAAACACTTGAGTGTTTGAATATAATATAAAATATGAAATATTCATTTTGTACTTTCCAGAAGTAACCATTGTTGATAGTGTGGTGTGTAGTTTTTAAATTTTATTTCTGTGTGTGTGTACACTTACAGTTGTCTGTGAGTAGGAGTTTATACCATATTTCATTGAGCATAAAGATGAACATGTTTTACTATCTTTCTGAAATTGGGATGTCATAACCAAAGATATGATTTAACTTATAGCATTTTTTTCTCAGTGGCACATGTAGTTGTGTGTTAAAATATTTAGCATTTTAGATTTGATGAAATATATGTTTAAAACTATTTTTTGTTTATATATTTAGACAAAATTATATCCAAGATGTTCAACTCTTTCTACCTAGATAGCATGAGAATTTCCACATAGTGCTGTCTTTAGATCTATCTCAATCTTAACAGATATCTAGCATGTTAATGGTGTATCATAACTTGTTCAAACCCCTCCTATTGGTGGAATTTTTCCAGTTTTTTTCTCTTACAGACAGTGTTGTATTAAATAATCCTTGTATTTATACTTACACACTTGAAATTTCTTTTGATTAAATATCAAGTTTATTTGGTACACAAATATCTGTAATGTATGGAGATGTCTGTTCCCTGTACTCTTCGGTAGTACTGCATCTTAGGTAATTTTTTTTTTTTTGTTAATCTAAAAATATCCTGATGTTTTAGGATGAAAAACTATTCTAATGCTCTAATACTTCTTTAATTGTGAATAAAATGGAACTCTTTTTATGGCTTTTAATTGTCTTTATTTCTTTAGCTACGATGCACTTGTGCATTGGCTAATGGACCTCTATTCACTGATACTTTGTCTTGATTAGAAAGAGAAACCATCACATTTTTGGGACCATGGATTGCCACATTGATTCTTAGAAATAGCTTTCAGGACAGGGCCCACTCTTATGGAGGACAGAGGGTTTTTTTAAAGGACCTGTGGTTGGGAGAAAGACAATTCAGAAGTAATCAGAATTCTCCTGTCCTTTATAATAGAGGCCAAGAAGTATTAGAGTATCATTAGTGTTGCTGAATATTGGAAGTCAGACTATGCTGTTAGTCTTTAAATGCTTCACTCTGATATGACTTGACTGTAGTAGATTGGTAAGTCTAAAACAAGGCACAAACCCTGGGACTTCAGTGAAGTTAATATTTGATCTAGAGAAAAATCTATGATCCTTTAAGGTTAAACAAGTAACGGGTTTTTTTTGCACATTATCAAAATGATGTTCTTAATAGTTCTTGAACTATTTTTTTTTGCTGCGTCTCATGGCATAGTTTGAAGTGGTAGAGATCAGGCAGTCTCTGCTTTTTAGGTTTCACTGGAGACTGGAGGAGACAGATTTTACTCTTAAAAGTGAAGCTAGGGCCCTCCCTGGTGGTGCAGCGGGTTAAAGCACTGCACTAAGAATCTAAAGCCACTTCTGCATGAGTTTGATTCCCACCTGCCCCGGAGGTGACCACATGGCGCGGCAGACCTCTCCTGACCCGCCCGCTGCTCCCCTCAGCAGTGTACTTCGTCGGTCTGCCTGTTCTGCTCCCCACTGTCTCTGGTGAAGCCTCTCGCCGCCCCTGAGCCTCTGGCCTGTACCCCAGTTCTGTATGCACAAATAAATCTTAAAAAAAAAAAAAAAAAGTGAAGCTAGGGCCCACCCTGCTGGCGCAGCAGGTTAGGATGCAGCACTGCAACCTGGCCGCAGCCGCTTCAGTGCAAATTCCATCCCCGGCCTCGTAGGTGATCCACATGGCTTTGCAGACCTCTCCTGGTCCCCTCAGCAGTGTACTTCATCAATATGCCCGTTCTGCTCCCCACTCTGTCTCTGTCGAATCCTCTCACCACACCTGCACCTCTGGCTTGTACCCCAGTTCTGTGTGCATAAATAAATGTTTCCCAAAAAAAAGGGGGGGGGGGAGAAGGTAAAAGGTATGTAGAATATGAAAAGCACAGAGGAAAGTTTTAGCCTAATATTAGAATATAAGGAAGGCTTCCTGAAATAGGAGCATTGAGTCTTTAAAGGTGAGTAAGAGAGAGACCTGTTTAGATGAAATGGATTACAAATAGTAAGGTATTCTTAGAACATAAAGTTTGAGGTGAAGAGTGATTTATGATGAATCTGGGGAAATAAAGAAGAAACATTACGAAGGCCCTTAAATGCCATGGTAAAGAATCCACATTTTATAAGTTTAGGGGAGTCATTTTGAGTAACAGCATGATTACATTTGTTTTTGAGAGATCATTACCTGAAGATTGATATTGGGGTCAGTGAGATATGATGGAAATAGATCTGTTAATATAGGTGAGAAATGAAGGTGTTAGCTTAATGGCCTTATCTACTGAAAAGATCATAGTTATCTCTCTTAATTTATATAATAGTTGACCTTCTTGTTCAGAATCCCTTTGAGACTGAATGTCATGGGACTGGGCTTATTATTTTTCAGAGATGACTTATTCATTGTCCAGTTTTTTTTTTTGTTTGTAAGAAATTTATACTTTTACACACACCTAATTGTGTGGTGCTATATGAACATAGTTAATTATTTTTCAATGATTATAAAACTTGAGGTGTTAACTCTGTTGATAGGTTTAGAGATTATCTTATTAGAGGGAAACAGTTTGGGAGTATTTTGTTACTGGTTAAAAATTATGGTTTGTCACATTTAATTTAGATTTTTATGATCTAGTATGAAATTGTAATTTGTGTACTAATTTCATTTTCTTTTTTTTTAAGGCTGTTAACAAAAGATGGTGGATCGCTTGGCAAACAGTGAAGCAAATACTAGGCGCATAAATATAGTGGAAAATTGTTTTGGAGCAGCTGGTCAACCCTTAACTATACCTGGACGGGTTCTTATTGGAGAAGGAGTATTGACTAAATTGTGTAGAAAAAAGCCAAAAGCAAGGCAGTTTTTTTTATTTAATGATATTCTTGTATATGGTAATATTGTCATCCAGAAGAAAAAATACAATAAACAACATATTATTCCCCTGGAAAATGTCACTATTGATTCCATCAAAGATGAAGGAGACCTGAGGAATGGATGGCTTATTAAGACACCAACCAAATCCTTTGCAGTTTATGCTGCTACTGCCACGGAGAAGTCAGAATGGATGAATCACATAAATAAATGTGTTACTGATTTACTCTCCAAAAGTGGGAAGACACCTAGTAATGAACATGCTGCTGTCTGGGTTCCTGACTCTGAGGCGACTGTGTGTATGCGTTGTCAGAAAGCAAAGTTCACACCTGTTAATCGTCGCCACCATTGCCGCAAGTGTGGTTTTGTTGTCTGTGGGCCCTGCTCTGAAAAGAGGTTTCTTCTTCCCAGCCAGTCCTCTAAGCCTGTGCGGATTTGTGACTTCTGCTATGACCTGCTTTCTGCTGGGGACATGGCCACATGCCAGCCCACTCGGTCGGACTCTTACAGCCAGTCACTGAAGTCTCCTTTAAACGATGTATCTGACGATGACGATGATGACGATAGCAGTGACTAAGGGCATATTTTCAAATACTTAATTGGGTGTGACTATTTGAGAAATCAGCTTTGGGGAGGAATTTAAAATTCTGAGCTCTCGATTTTGCTCTAGCCATGAATTTGCCTGAAAAACTTTTAACCTATGTGCCTCAGTATACTCTGTAGAAAATATGTCCCGTTGTTAACCCCTCTCCCATCTCTCCGCTGTCTCCAGTGACAGATTGCAAATCAATCAGATAAATTTTTGGCTTCTTTTTGTTTATTTCTAGATTATTTTTTGGAAGGTTGGGGAAAAATATTTATTTAACAGATCATGTTATATGTTCTGTTACATGGAAAAATGAAAAACAAAAAGTGATGAAAAAAAGGAGTAAGATTTAGTCAGTAAAATTGTTAACATTTTCCTAATCATTTTCTCCAAAGATTAAGACACCAGTAAAAATATATATAAAATTTGGGAATACTTTGGCTTTTTTGTATTCCAAGTGGTGCCTTATATTAGCACTGTTTTATAAAATGGTCCCCTACCTTCTTTCTTTTTCACTTGTTTGAACAATACACTGGTGCTCCCTGAGGTGATAAAGTGAATGTGTATGAATGGGTGTAATTAGAAAATACTTCTCATCTGACAGCTATAAATAAATAAATTTAGAAACTCTTCATTCTATATGAATATTTTTGCATAAAGTAGCTGTGATTATATTTTAACATTTTGTAGGTACCAAATTATAATTGTCAAATATGTTTTAAATTAATAAGGTGTCATTCTAGAAATTTGATTTGAAGTTTATAAAATATAAAATTATATTAGTTTCTACTTTTTAGTAAGACATTTGTAGGAGTAAGTTTATCTGCTTTAATGTTATTTCTAAATTGAGAAATCTTACAAAACCCTTAAAATTAAACGAGTAATTAAAAAAGAAAGCCATGATAGAGCACATTCTGTTTAGACCGAAGATTTGCAAGGAATGATGTGGAGGAATGATCAACACAAGCCAGTTTGACTAGTTAAGTTTCACTAGACTTCGTATCTGTGGAAGTATTGTCTATTTCTGTGTGAAACTATCTTGAATTTACAAAGTGTTATATTTTATAAAAGTTTCGTAAAAGTCCCAAGCAATATTTCTATTTTTGTAAAGTTTAATCTGCTCTGCATTTTGCAGTTTATGGAAATAGAGTAGCAATTGAACTTTCTAAATTGTCAACTTTATTGCGTTATTCTTCATCATTTTTGAGAAGTGGTAATTTTTCACATTTTGCTTTTGAGGCAGCCACTAGGTTGAAAGTACATTTATCATAAAAAACTTGATGCATTTTGCACTACTCTCCATTTATATGCTGCAAATAACTACAATCTTTCAAATATGAAAAATCAGTCAAGTTTATTTTAAATTCTCAATTTTTGTTTTTAAATCTTTAATTGTGGATATATTGCAAATGTCACTAGAGGTTTGATTCAGTAACTTGTTGCAGATTTTTTGTTTGGTTGAGGCATTAATGTATTTACTCTTAAATTGTGGAAGCATCTGAAGTAATGTAGGAACATGGAAGGCACAACAGGTTTTTGTTTTAATATCAAATGGACTTTTCTTCCTAAGCAATATATACATATCAATCAATGTATCTGAAAAGGATCATGAAACCCAGGAATTGCTAATGGAGATTTGTGGAAACAGGAACCGAGCAAATTCGGGAACCAAGGGGATATGTTCTGAGATAATATTTACATTGTCAGACTCTTTGATTCTGTTTTTACAATAAAAAAATATTTACAGCTTGCTTTCTATTCTCTTCATATTGTGACTTGGAGATTTCTCCCTGCTCTCTGAGGTAATGGAGATACTGTGCATGATTTGCCTGTTCAACAGCCATAGCTCCCTTCTGTATGCCACACATTGTTCTAGGCACTGGAGGTAGAATGGTGGAAAAAAAAGTCCCCCCTTTTCTTGGAGTTTACTTGCAAGTAGAATCCAAGTTGTGTTTTCTACCAGAATTTTTTGTTATTTTTAAGGCTTTATAAATCTTAGTTATATGTAAGCCAGAAATGATTTTGGTCCTGATACCTCATGCTGTTTCTCTTGAATAACATTTACTTACACTGTACTGGGTCCCCAGTACATTAGCAAATTGGTAACTATTGGTGTAAAGGTACCAAGCAAGGTTCAGTGGACGCCAATGGAGAAATTTAAGTTGAACACACCTTAATACAGTAATTTATACCTTCGCCGGTAGTTAATATAAAGTCACGTGTTCATTTTTATCACCTTTATGCTAAAACTATGAGTTTGCTTTTTCCTTATGGCTCGTGGAGAGGGCCTGATTTTCATGTGCTTATTGCCATTTGCATGTCTTCTTTGGAGAAGATATGTCTTTTATGGTCCTTGGCACTTTAAATTGAGCCTTTTGATCTTTATTATTGAATTGTCAGGATTCTTTATATGATCTGGATATAAGACTTATAGTCATGATTTCCAAATATCTTTTCCTACTCTGAATTTCCATCTGGTATTTTTTGAAGCACAAAAATTTAATTTTGATAAAAGCCAATTCATTTTTGTTTTTGTTTTTGTGCTTTTGGTGTCACAGCTAAGAAAACAAATGCCTTGACTCAAAATCAGAAGGTTTATGCTGTGTTTTCTCCCGAGTCTGTTGGATGGTTATGGATATGTAGAACAGGTCTTAATATTACCTAATTACCAGAATTAGAGTTGCAACTATTTCCTAATGCATTAAGAATTCATTAGTAAATCTGCAGTTAAATAAGACAGCTGTGTGTGTGAGTCTTTTCTACTAAGTCAGCAGGGTGAAACTACACACGAATGTGCTGCAGGCAGACTCGGAAAACAAACATTTCTTCTGTGTGCTACTAATTGGATTTACTGTTATGGGAGTTGCATTTATGTAGTAGACTTTGTAGTACAATTACTATCTAAGAGTGACTATGGACTGCATTCTGACAAGATAAATATGGAAGTAATGAGGTAAAATGAGTTCAGTGGGCTTCCCTGGTGGCTCAGGGGTTAAATTCTCAGCACTATCAGGTTATGGCCAGCCATTGCAGCA